ATAGTGGTTTTTAATTATTATTTAATTGAACATTTGATGGAATTCTTCCTTTTGTTTTGTACAAATTATTGTATAGCTTGAAAGTGTTTGATTAATAAGATCAGTTGGTCAAGATGTGGTTTTGGTTTTACGTGTGCGTCAGCACGTGCCGAGGGACTAGTATGATCTTCACCTTAATTGTATCTTGACACTACATTTTGACAAATATGTGCTTCTTTGATGAAATAGGTTTTCATAAGTTGCTAGTTATTGTTAAGTTCTAAAGATAAAAGATAGTATTTTGGGTTTGTGGAATTCATTGATTTGAAGTTTTATAGGATAATGCAATATGAATTGAACAATTGCATTAAGAAGCTTAATTATCTGTTTGTTTGTTTGTTAACTTTTTCGGTGCAAAAGTTTACTAGCATTGCCAAGCCATCACCTTTGAGCCAGAAGTGGGCAAGCTTAGCAAGACCTTTCAGGTAATTTGGAATTTTGGATAGTCGATTTTTAGTTTTACTATAGCAGATTTTCTTTCGGTTTTTAATTTGGATTTTTTCCTAGTCGATTTAGCTTATTAATAACATGTTCTGCTTGAAACAGTTCTAGACCTGCTGGGAATGATATAATTGGGATCGATTTGGGCACAACCAACTCATGTGTTGCTGTGATGGAGGGCAAGGTAACCCTTCGTTATGTTCTCATATTTGTGATGGTTGAATTCTTTGTTTAAGTATTCTTTTGGTTGTGTGTTTTTGTATTTGATGATTAATTGTGGATTATCACAGAATCCCAAGGTTATCGAGAATTCTGAAGGAGCTCGGACCACACCATCAGTAGTTGCCATGAATCAGAAAGGAGAACTTCTTGTTGGTACTCCAGCAAAACGTCAGGCTGTGACGAACCCAACAAACACAGTTTCTGGAACCAAGCGTCTGATTGGGAGACACTTTAACGATGCCCAAACACAAAAGGAAATGAAGATGGTTCCATACAAGATTGTGGAAGCTCCAAATGGAGAAGCATGGGTTGAAGTCAATGGACAACAGTACGCTCCAGGCCAGATTGGAGCTTTTGTTCTGACAAAGATGAAAGAAACTGCTGAGGCTTACCTTGGAAAGTCTGTTTCTAGAGCTGTGATCACGGTCCCAGCTTATTTCAATGATGCCCAGAGACAGGCCACAAAGGATGCTGGAAGAATTGCAGGGCTAACCGTAGAGAGAATCATAAACGAGCCAACTGCTGCTGCTCTTTCCTATGGTATGACCAGCAAGGAAGGCCTAATTGCTGTATTTGATCTTGGTGGTGGGACATTTGACGTATCCATTCTGGAGATATCCAATGGTGTTTTTGAGGTATGCACGGTTTGCCATACTGTTAGATCCTGTCTTCTTTTCCTTTATTTTGGAAGACCTAGTAAGAACTCTCTCTTATGTAGGTGAAAGCAACAAATGGTGACACATTCTTGGGAGGAGAGGATTTCGACAATGCTTTGCTGGACTTCTTAGTGAGTGAATTCAAGAGAACTGAGGGGATTGAACTTACAAAGGATAGGCTTGCCTTGCAGAGGCTTCGGGAGGCAGCTGAGAAAGCTAAGATTGAACTTTCATCTTCATCTCAAACTGAGATAAACCTTCCGTTCATCACAGCTGATGCTTCGGGTGCTAAGCATCTGAACATCACGCTGACCCGATCAAAGTTTGAAAGCCTGGTTAATCACCTGATTGAGAGGACAAAGGTACCGTGCAAGAATTGTTTGAGGGATGCCAACATGTCTATTAAGGATGTGGATGAGGTCCTTCTTGTTGGAGGAATGACTCGTGTTCCTAAAGTGCAAGAGGTAGTTGCAGAAATATTTGGAAAGAGCCCAAGCAAAGGAGTCAATCCAGATGAGGCAGTTGCTTTGGGAGCTGCCATCCAAGGTGGTATTCTTCGCGGTGATGTTAAGGAGTTGCTTCTTCTCGATGTTACTCCTCTATCACTTGGTATCGAAACATTGGGTGGTATATTCGCCAAGCTGATTGCTAGAAACACTACAATTCCAACAAAGAAGAGTCAGGTCAGTCCTCAAGAAAATGTTTAAACTTACATTGATTACTTAACTGTGCGTGTTGCTGAACTGTTTGCATCTTATCCTACCTTTTGTTATGGAATTGTGCAGGTATTTTCAACAGCTGCTGACAACCAAACTCACGTCGGTATCAAGGTGCTACAAGGGGAGAGAGAAATGGCTGCTGACAACAAGCTTCTTGGAGAGTTTGACCTTCAAGGCATCCCTCCAGCACCGAGGGGAATGCCTCAGATTGAAGTTACATTTGACATTGATGCCAACGGTATAGTAACTGTTTCTGCAAGGGACAAGGCCACTGGTAAGGAGCAACAGGTTACCATCCGCTCAAGTGCAGGGCCTACGGAGGAGGAAATTCAGAGAATGATCAAGGATGCCGAGCTGCATGCTCAAAAGGATCAGCAGAGGAAAGCTCTCGTTGATATAAAAAACAGTGCGGACACCAGCATCTACAGCATTGAGAAGAGTTTGAGCGAATACCATGACAAAGTTCCGAGCGAAATCGCTAAAGAAATCGAGGATGCAGTTGCTGACTTGAGGACGGCAATTGGAGGGGACAATGCTGATGAGATAAAGTCGAAGCTTGACATTGCAAACAAAGCTGTGTCAAAGATTGGTGAGCATATGTCGAAGGGTTCTGGAGGCGGTGGTGGCTCATCGTCTGGAGGCTCACAGAACGAAGGAGACGTAGCTCCGGAGGCAGAGTACCAAGAGATGGAGAAGTGAGTAGCGAAGCACTTGTCTTAGTTATGAAAGTGGGATAAAAGATGTCTTTCATGTAATTAGACTATTGAGCAAGTATGCTTTCAAAACATTATTTTGTTGAATTTAATTTTAAATTAGTAATTGAAATTTTTTGGTAGTGAATGATTCCCTGATTTGTGGGAATTATTCAGTCATTGTCTAAAAATTTCTAGACGCTTCGTTTGCTGTCAAAGATTGGATTGGATTGGATTTAGCAGTATGTTGAACGAAAAAATAGATTAGTTTGGTGACAATCTTAAACAATACAATCTAGTTACTTATTGAATACAATCTTAAACAACAGAACAAACTAACCCAATAGAAAGACAACTCAATAAACTGTTCCAACACGAGAAGAAGAATTTAGCAAAATAACAAGGTAGATGAATAAATCCAGGGATGGTGACTTTTGCTTCTCTTGCAATCATACTTGCACTTTTTCTCAACTAACAATCCACGCGACTCAAAATTTGTTTTGAGCCACACACGCGCTAATCTTTTATTTTATTTTTCCTAATCATTTTTCATCACTTAAAAAATGCAAAACAATAATAATTTTGCTATAAACTACGGGTTTGAACTCAGAACGCAGTGTTTTTAAGATTAACAACAAAGGCAGTCCACCACTTGTAGTGTTTTTTAGATTTAACTAGGATGAATGCCCGCGCTTTGCTGCGGGTTTTTAGATGATGAATAATATTCATAGAAAATTGATTGAAAATGCTTTAGTAATATAATTGCATTCATAAATGTAGCAAGTTAAAGAACGTATGTTTAACATGAGTAAGGTTTACAAAACCACATATTTACACAATTATCTCCAAATGAAAGAAAAAGCAGGATATGGGTGAATTGATCCATAGAAAAAGTAATTTCATTTACATTGGTTATGTATTAAGTCAATATTGAGAGTCAGTATACAATCAAAATTACTTGCCGGTGGTGATCTCACTTTCGAAAGATAGTCTTGACAATAGTTGCAAGGACGAAATATAGTGTCTTTGCATTAAAGACTGAAGTACCATGCAGTTTACACATATTTGTTTGTTCATACAACATGACAAAATACATGTTCTGCAGGGGTTTGTATCATTCCAACAGTTGCAAAACATAATAAACATGTTTTTATGGTATGTACATTAGTTGACTTTAGTAGTCGAATTCGCAAAAAGTATATGTCCATGTTAGTGGAATGACCAAAAAATATATATGTTTGATCCTTTGCAGTAGTCGATCACGATGTCTACCAAAACCCCTCCTAGAATTTGTTGTTCCTTTCGATCGATCTCTTTCACCATTTTTTTTTTCTCTGAATCAAAAATTAAATATAATGTCAATAAATGTTTTTAAAAAGATAAAATTTTGTAGACTTGAGCAACATTGTTTAAATTCTTAAAAATCTGAAACAACAAAGAAAATACATCAATTATTTTTTTATAAGTAAAGAATACATGAATAGAAATATTTATAAATATGTTTGAATAACCAATTTGTGTTTGTTATAAGATTACTTATACTCATTTTATTAAGTACGTAAATTACGAAATTTTTTTTTTTTTTCTGAATAATTTGTTGTTCGTTGAGAGAGACCAGTTATCAATAGCAATTATTGAAGCACTTAAAGGAGGATGAGTCCCTTTCGGTCTCTCATTCATCCCTACGGTTGTCATGTATGTCAAATTAGGCATAAGGAATAAGGCCAGTTTTTTTAGGTTTTACGATGGTGAAAGCCAAAGTTGAAGAAAAGCAACCACTTTTTTTAGGTTTGACGATGGTCAAAGCCAAAGTTGAAGAAAAGCAACGTATGCAAAGGCAAAAATATTTATGCAATGACATTTGTTTTTATTACCATGCATGTGAGCTATTATACACATGAGAAAAAATTCGATTTATAATAGAGTCCATATATAGCATAATTAGAAAAAGAGTTCATGGACTATTGTCCTCCGCCTAGAAGCGTATGTTTATAAAACATTGGAAAAATTAGAAAAGGCATCAAAATACACAACAAACATCATAAAAAATTTGAGGATACAGCAAAATTTGAGGATATTGTTCCAGGGAGAATTCACATCAAGTTTAACTACATTATTTAATTCAAATGGAATCTAAAAGCAGCATAAATATGAAGGGTAAAAAACTAATAGGAAAAGTCACATTTCAGCAGCAATTAATAGCAGAAATCAGGGCTTTGTAGGAAGAACGAAAACAATTTCAGCAAAAAGATACCAGAAACTATAATTACCAACATATTTACATACATGTGAAAATTTATTTATAATCACATTTACAATGATTAACATATTTACAATAAATTACATACACGTAGGTATCCAAGTGTCCATGAATCAGGCATATCACAACACTAATCTATATCCAGAAAATCCTTGCATCTTCCCACTATGTGGCAAGTCGTATTTTAAGTTCCTACTTCCGAAGACTTTGAAGGCCAGAACAACAAAAAAGACCATGAATTTTGACCTTTTTCTTTTAATTCCGCGTTAGGTAATGAATTAGCAAATTGGTATTAATTAGTATTAGAAAAATAGTCATCATGCTCTTTGTTTTTAGGAAATGCTACTAAGTTAAAGAGTTCAATGCACACACTCTAAACTCTGATAAATTTGAGGGCTGTTATCTATCGGTGACTCATTATCAAGCTCGGCATGCACAAATTCTTCACATCCACAAAATCACAAAATCTTGTACTTCCATAAACATTTGCAACCCAATATAAAACAATTGAAAAACTTTAATAAAAAATGAACCATAAAAACAATAAAAATTTGGTGACCAAAAACCTCTCAAAAATCGAGTTTGGAAGCATAAACAGAAATAGCAACTAAATTGAATCGCTTTATAACAACTTCCGAAGAACAAAATCATCACCAAGATTCAGTTTAATTAGTTTTCTCACCATATCCTTATACATGCAGTTTATATAATGAGACAATCATCTTCCAAAACCATTTTACAACCAATATAACTTTAGTGCTAAAAAAAATTTTTGTATTTCCAAAAACATCCGCAATACATGCAATCTCCACCCAGTAATAACAATAGACAACATCACATACGCAACAGAAGGCGAACACAAATCCCACATTTCACAACCAAATTATCATATCAGTTCGAAACATTAAATTCTAAGAACTAAAAATAATAATAACAGTACCTTAAACTGAAGCTTCAGGTGAGAACTTCCTGCTTTGCAACCTGCAACAAACGATCGAAATTAAAACCCACGAATCCACAATCAGATAAAAACAATTTTCCAAGAAAAAAAAAACCAAAATTGGTATACAAAAGAGCATTAGATCTATAACCTGGAAAAAAAAAAAAAAAAAAGGCATACAAAAAACCCCAAAAAAAAAAAATAATGGACCTTAAGACAGAGAACAAATAGGCACACAGAGATGAATGTGCAAAATGAGAGAAAGGAAAACTAAACCAAGATTGGTATACAAAAGAGCATTAGATGTATAACCTGGAAAACAAAAAGAAAAAAAAAGCCATACAAAAAACTCCAAAAAAAAAAAAAAAAGTTAATCGATCTTAAGACAGAGAACAAACACGCAGACAGAGAGATGAATGTGCAAAATGAGAGAAAAGAAAACTAAACCAAGATTGGTATACAAAAGAGCATTAGATCTATAACCTGGAAAACAAAAAGAAAAAAAAAAGGCATACAAAAAACTCCAAAAAAAAAAAAAAAAAAAAATTAATCGACCTTAAGACAGAGAACAAACACGCAGACAGAGAGATGAATGTGCAAAATGAGAGAAAAGAAAACTAAACCAAGATTGTTATACAAAAGAGCATTAAATCTATAACCTGAAAAACAAAAAGAAAAAAAAAAGGCATACAAAAAAATCCAAAAAAATAAAATAAAAATAAATAATCAAGCTTAAGACAGAGAACGAACACGCAGAGAGAGAGATGAATGTGCAAAATGAGAGAAAAGAAAACTAAACCAAGATTGGTATACAAAAGAACATTAGATCTATAACCTGGAAAACAAAAGGAAAAAAAAAAAAGCCATACAAAAACCCCAAAAAAGAAAAAAAAAATATTATGGACCTTAGGACAGAGAACAAATGCGCAGACAGAGAGATCAATGTGCAAAATGAGAGAAAAGAAAACTTATAAGGGAAATAAATATCTCTGATGATTCCCCCAAAATCTGACCTAACACACTAAAAAATTCGAAAATAATCCACAACAAACAGGCAGATCTAAGCTGATAGAAAAAAAAAAAAAATTTAAAGCACTTATCTTTTGAAATCCAGGCATGCAGCGGTAGATCCGGATAATCCGTATCCCCACTTCTGAAATCGACGACTCATACCTTTCCCCTTCGCTCTCCTTCCATCGTCATCTCTCTCTCTCTCTCTCTCTCTCTCTCTCTCTCTCTCTTTCTTCCGCTCTCTGTCACAGTCTCCATCCCCCCGAAACCCTCATCGAAGGACAGCACACAACAACCCTCGAACTCAGTCAAAACCGAGAAGATATCACCCACTTTCCCACTTCTTAAATCCATCAGCCATACCTCTCCCTGCGCTGTCTTCCCCTCGAAATCTCTCTCTCTCTCTCTGTCTCTCTCTCTCTCTCTCTTTCTCTCTCTGTCTGTCTCTCTGTCTCTCCGTTTCTTCCGCTCTCTGTGACTCCATTTCCCCGAAACCATAAATGAAAGACAGTAAGTGCAACCCTTACACGGCAACCCTTTAATTCACTCAAAACCGAGAGGACAAAATTGCCCTTCTAACCTAGTCCACAAATAATGGGTTTCTTGCAAATAAGATGAAATGAAGGGGTAATTCGTCCTAAACCCTTCGGACAAAATCACCCTTATCAGTTCAAATAATATCCTTCAAACCCAGCCCAATGCTCATGGTTTTTTCGTAAATAAGATGAAATCGAGGGGCAAACAATTGACTGTAGCCCAATGAACAGTCAATTGCTCCCTAGTTTTAGAATAGATAACTAGGATGAATGCCCGCGCTTTGCTGCGGGTTTTTAGATGATGAATAATATTCATAGAAAATTGATTGAAAATGCTTTAGTAATATAATTGCATTCATAAATGTAGCAAGTTAGAGAGCAAGTTAGAGTGCGTATGTTTAACATGAGTAACGTTTACAAAACCACATATTTACACAATTATCTCCAAATGAAAGAAAAAGCAAGATATGGGTGGATTGATCCATAGAAAAACTAATAGGAAAAGTCACATTCCAGCAACAATTAGTAGCAGAAATCAGGGCTTTGTAGGAGGGACCAAAACAATTCCAGCAAAAAGATACCAGAAACTATAATTACCAACATATTTACATACATGTGAAAATTTATTTATAATCACATTTACAATGATTAACATATTTACAATAAATTACATACACGTAGGTATCCAAGTGTCCATATCATGGTCACTGGATTTTGGTGCAGAGTTCAGAGATCTCTATGGGTTTGAGTTAAAGAGTTCAATGCACACACTCTAAACTCTGATAAATTTGAGGGCTGTTATCTATCGACGACTCATTATCAAGCTTGGCACGCACAAATTCTTCACATTCACAAAAGCACAAAATCTTGTACTTCCATAAAAATTTGCAACCCAATATAAAACAATTGAAAAACTTTAATAAAAAATGAACCATAAACACAATAAAAATTCGGTGACCAAAAACCTCTCAAAAACTGAGTTTGGAAGCATAAACAGAAATAGCAACTAAATTGAATAGCTTTATAACAACTTCCGAAGAACAAAATCATCACCAAGATTCAGTTTAATTAGTTTTCTCACCATATCCTTATATATGCAGTTTATATAATGAGACAATCATCTTCCAAAACCATTTTACAACCAATATAACTTTAGTGCTAAAAAAAAATTCTTGTATTTTCAAAAACATCCGCAAGTCCACGAATGTGTTATTTAGTTCCTCCCCTAGAACTAAAGAGGTGTTTTGTAGAGACCTAAAATAAATGGAATCTCCACCCAGTAATAAAAATAGAGAACATCACATACGCAACAGAAGCCGAACACAAATCCCACATTTCACAACCAAATTATCGTATTAGTTCGAAACATTAAATTGTAAGAACTAAAAATAATAATAACAGTACCTTAAACTGAATCTTCAGGTAAGAACTTCCTGCTTTGCAACCTGCAACAAACGATAGGAATTAAAACCCACGAATCCACAATCAGATAAAAACAATTTTCCAAGAAAAACAAAACCAAAATTGGTATACAAAAGAGCATTAGATCTATAACCTGGAAAACAAAAAGAAAACAAAAAAAGCCATACAAAAAACCCCAAAAAAAAAAAAAATATTACGGACCTTAAGACAGAGAACAAACACGCAGAGAGAGAGAGAGATGAATGTGTAAAATGAGAGAAAAGAAAACTAAACCAAGATTGGTACACAAAAGAGCATTAGATCTATAACCTGGAAAACAAAAAGAAAAAAAAAAGCCATACAAAAAACCCCAAAAAAAAAAAAAAAAAAAAATTACGGACCTTAAGACTGAGAACAAATATGCAGACAGAGAGATCAATGTGCAAAATGAGAGAAAACAAAACTAATAAGGCAAATAAATATCTCTGATGATTCCCCCAAAATCTGACGTAACACACTAAAAAATTCGAAAATAATCCACAACAAAAAGGCAGATCTAAGCTGATAGAAAAAAAAAAAATTTTAGAAGCACTTAGCTTTCGAAATCCAGGCATGCAGCGGTAGATCCGGATAATCCGTATCCCCACTTCTGAAATCCATGACTGATAGCTTTCCCCTTCGCTCTCTTTCCATCGTCATCTCTCTCTCTCTCTCTCTCTCTCTCTCTCTCTCTTTCTTCCGCTCTCTGTCAGAGTCTCCATCCCCCCGAAACCCTCATTGAAGGACAGCAAATGACACTGCACACAACAACCCTCAAAATCAGTCAAAACCGAGAAGAGAAAATCGACTTTCCCACTTATGAAATCCATTAGCCATACCTCTCCCCTGCGCTGTCTTCCCCTTGGCATCTCTATCTCTCTCTGTGTCTCTCTCTCTCTTTCTCTCTCTGTATGTCTCTCTCTCTTTCTCTCTTTGTCTGTCTCTCTGTCTCTCCGTTTCTTCCGCTCTCTGTGAGAGCTTCATTTCCCCGAAACTATGAGGGAAGGACACGGCAACCCCTTAATTCACTCAAAACCGAGAGGACAAAATTGCCCTTCCAACCTAGTCCACAAATAATAGGTTTCTTGTAAATAAGGTGAAATGAAGGGGTAATTCGTCCAAAACCGTCTGGACAAAATCACCCTTATCAGTTCAAATAATATCCTTCAAACCCAGCCCAATTCTCATGGTTTTTTTGTAAATAAGATGAAATCGAAGGGCAAACAATTGACTGTAGTCCAATGAACAGTCAATTCCTCCTTAGTTTTAGAATAGATAATTCTACAATCTTCCTAAACTTGTAATTTTGGTATAAATAATTTTTGATAGCAAGCTGTCATTTTACTCTTTTGGTATAAACCATTTTTGTTATAGTCCGTGCACTAACATTAATATCTTAATTAGAATTTTGAATAGCAACTATGAGTTTACTTAGAAAATAACAATAGAATTATAGAAGATGCATTTTTAACAAATTTAAATGGTAGTGTGAAAATGGAAAGAGAGAGATAATAGATTTTTGTAACAATTTTTTTTTAATCGAACGATAACGTTAGTAAGTTAACATGTCGTCATAAAAGAGCACAATATCTTTTTATCACTATAATAACATGCCAGTACTGATTTTTGTAACAAATGTAAAATAATATTCTATTTAAAATTGCTATCGCTTTGTCAAAAAAATTAAAAAATTAAAAAATTAAAAAATTAAGGGGACGTTTGGAGTTCAATCGTTTGTTTAAAGGAGTTGACCGTTATTTCTAGAAAGAGAGAAAGAAATATCTTCAAGTTCTTGCAGAAAAAAATAATCACGAAAAGCCAAAAACTTGAGAAAAACATTCACTGTTTGGTGTTCCACCAGAAACCAGTTTAACTTCAGATTCACTCAACTGTCTCACTTCCTCTCTCTCTAGATCCAATCAACTCTGCTAGCTCTCTCTCTCTCTCTCTCTCTCTCTCTCTCTCTCTCTAGATCCAAGTTTCAGCAAGTGGGGTTCATCTTCTTCACAGTAATCCATGCAAGAGTGGACAGATTCACTCAACCGTCTCACTCTCTCTCTCTCTAGATCCAATCAACTCTGCTAGCTCTCTCTCTCTCTCTTTCTCTAGATCCAAATTTCAGCAAGTGGGGTTCATCTTCTTCACGGTAATCCATGCAAGAGTGGACAGATTCAGGTTTGTGTTCCTTACTTTAAAATTTTGGTTGGATTCAAACACTACCCATGAAAGTATAGGCTTAAGATTGAGTACCCTTTCAAGGATATTGTGTTATATTGTTCATTGACTTGACCTCTGTGGATGGATGAAATTTGTGGAAACTGAGTAGAAATTTGAGATTTGAAGAATTGGGTTTTCAAATTTGAGTAGTTTAAGATTCTGGGCAGCTGAGAAACCTTGAAGAAAGTGATAGGAATTTTAGAAGGTTTGAGATGATGAAGTTTGCATGTTTGGTTGTTGTGGTTTGGAGCGTTTATGGGTTGCTGTTTAATTTGGGGCTCACTTATTCAGAGCAATCAGAACCAGGATTCGAATTTACAAATGAAAGAAGTGGAAGCCCTGTTACTTACAGTTATGATCGGATCGATGAAGTGAAGAAAGAATGTCGTTTTGTTCTTTCTTCTGCTTCTGAACTGAAAGCTGAAGATAATCGAATTTATAGCATAAAAACTGACCTTTTTTTTGTCAATGGGGACTGGAGGCAGGAGGTGGGTGATGCCCCAATTATCCCATTTGATGATAGAGAATTTGAAATGAGCTTGGTGGAGGATATTAATCGTACCTCATCGAACTTGGTTTCATTTTGGGTTATGGATGTTGATCGTGCCCATCGATCCAAGAAGTCGGTGAGTGTTAGTGGGGTCATGGTTTTGGGCATTACTAAAGGTGGTAGCTTTGCGGATTATAGGTACGAAGGAAATCCAAAATTTCAAATATGGCCCGGCCATTCTCAGCTCACAGTTTCCTTCCAAGGGATTTACACTGAATCCAAGAAAAATGGTGGGGAAAGAGTAATGTGTTTGTTGGGGAGTACAATGTTGCCGTCCCGGGAGACTGATTCTGCTAATCCCTGGGAGTGGTTGAAGGCTTCTGATGTAAATTATGACCAACCTCCTCTTTCTGAAGATGATCAGATTCTACTAGTTCTTCATTATCCAGCGACTTTCTCATTGACAAATAGGGTTATCCAAGGAGAATTAAGAAGCTTAAATTCAAAGGCAAACTCAAAGTACTTTGATACGGTTCACATTTCATCGCAGTTGGGAAAGTCCGCAACGTATGAGTTTGGAGCTGAAAAGATTGTGTCAAGAGCATGTGATCCGTACCCTTCTAATGATAACTTGATATATGGTGGCATTAGCATTTACAAAGGTCCTTCGTTTTGTGAAATCCTCCAAGAAGTTACACGGGAACAAGCTTTCACTGTCTTGCCAAACTGGAGATGTAATTTCCCGGGTGATTTTTGCAGCAAGCTGGGTCCATTTGTGGCAGATAAAGAGATTAGGGCATCAAATGGAAGCTTTAAAGGTGTGAAAATTTTTATGCAGGATATCAAGTGTGAACAAAAAAATTCCGCAGTAAATGCCAGTTCAGCAAGGGTTTCAGCTGTGTTTAGAGCTGTTTCCCCGCTAGAGAATGACTATACTGCGGCAAAGAGATCTGGGCTTAACAACATGACCGTTGCAGCAGAGGGAATTTGGAAGTCTACCAGCGGGCAGCTTTGCATGGCTGGTTGCCTTGGACTTGCTGATGTTCAAGGACGTCAATGCAATAGTCGAATCTGCCTGTACATACCAGTCTCTTTTTCCATAAAGCAACGAAGCATTATTTATGGAAGTTTATCCAGCATCAATAACAGTGGTGCATCGTTTTTTCCTCTCTCCTTTGAAAAGCTAGTGCAGCCTACAGAGCTGTGGAATTACTTCAGAACCTCCAGTCCAAACTACAGGTACACAAAACTTGATTCAGCTGCTATTATCCTGGAAAAAAATGAGGCCTTTAGTGTTGGAACCGTCATAAAAAAATCACTGCTGAATTTTCCCAAACTGGAAGATACAGAATCTTTTCAAGTCAGTCTTTCTCTTCTCTCGGAAGACCTAACCCTTCATGAGTCTGCATTTCTCGATCCAATCCGAGATCTTTACTCATCAAGAATAGATATTCAGATGGAGATTCTGTCAGTTGGTCCCTTGTTTGGGCGCTTTTGGTCTCCACAAAACAGTTCCACTGCAGAAGAGGAGACTCCTTACCACACGAAGGCTGAATACACTGAAAAGCAGCTCCTTATGAATGTATCCGCACAACTCACCATCACTGGGAAAGGTTTCAGCAATTTTTCAGTTCTGTTTCTGGAGGGTCTTTATGACCCACATGTGGGAAAGATGTATCTAGTTGGCTGCAGGGATGTTCGAGCCTCGTGGAAGATCTTGTATGAGAGCATGGATCTTGAGGCTGGGCTTGATTGTTTAATTGAGGTGGTTGTGTCGTATCCTCCCACTACATCTCTATGGTTAGGCAATCCAACAGCAAGTATTTCCGTAGCCAGTCAAAGGAATGAAGATGACCCCCTTTTCTTTAGTACAGTCAAGCTCAGAACTCTTCCAATTATGTACAGAAAACAGCGGGAAAGCATACTCTCTCGTCGGGGTATTGAGGGAATCCTCCGGATTTTGACTCTTTCCCTGGCAATTTCTGGCATTTTAAGCCAACTGTTTTACATCGGGCATAATGTGGATTCTGTTCCTTACATCTCTCTGGTCATGCTAGGTATCCAATCCATTGGGTACAGCATTCCTCTGGTCACTGACGCTGAAGCGCTCTTCAAGAGGATATCTTCTGACTCCAATGCAATATCTTCGTATGACCTTGAGAACAATCAGTGGTTCCATATACTTGATTACACGGTAAAGTTTCTGGTGATGGTTTCACTTTTACTGACTTTAAGGCTCTGTCAAAAGGTGTGGAAATCTCGAATCAGATTACTTACGCAAACTCCTCTTGAGCCACATCGTGTACCTAGTGATAAACGGGTGCTTCTGACTACCTTTGCAATACATTTTATTGGCTATGTCATTGTCTTAATCATTCATAGTATGACGACTAGCAGAAGATATATTCGGACAAAAAGCTATAGAATAGCTAGAGCAAATTCTCATGCACTGTGGGAGTGGGAAACTGAGCTAGAGGAGTATGTCGGTCTTGTTCAAGATTTTTTCCTTATCCCACAAATCATTGGCAACGTTGTGTGGCAGATTGATTGCAAACCGCTCAGAAAGTTCTATTTCTTTGCAATCACATTGGTCAGAATCTTCCCTCACATTTATGATTATATTAGAGCTCCTGCTCTCAATCCTTACTTTGCAGAGGACTACGAGCTTGTCAACCCGACTACGGATTTTTACTCCAAGTTTGGGGATATTGCCATTCCGGTTACAGCAATCATCCTTGCAGGTATAGTCTATGCTCAGCAGAGGTGGAGTTACGAGAGGATCGGCCAGACTCTTACTGTGGGGCAATATAGGCTTCTTCCTTTGGGTTCGAGAATGTATGAGAGGTTGCCTTCAAGTTCCATGGCATTTGAAGCTGAGCTTGTTTCCGGTGTCAATGGTAATGCTAGACACGAGAAGGAGAAGGAGAATGATGATGGAGAGTAGAATCGTAATGTGTAAAACCCTTTAAGATTACATACAGAAAAAGGTGGTGTTGTAAAAATATATGCACGGTTGGTGTTACTTTGATGTTTGTTCTCACTTTGGCATGTTCATGTTGGCTTCTAAAAGAATGATAAGACACAAATTCTCCAATTTTCCTGTTCTTTCTTGTGCTGCTCCTTTAGATTCTGTGTACTGGTATTTTCGTTTTGTTTTGTTTTTGTTTTTTTTGTTTTTTTTTTTTTGTGGTTTTTTTGTGTCTTGTAGATTCTGTGTGCTGTTTTTTTCTTTGTTAAAAGCGTCTATTCTTGCACTCGAAGTTTGGTATTCGATTTTTTCATCACCCAGGCCGGCCGCAGGACTTTGGCGGTAAATTAACATCA